GAGACCGCACTGAGATTTATGCCAAGTGGAAATGGTCGAAAATGCATCCAAAAAAAGTCTGTCTGGCTGCTCAAGCCCTTCCCTGCCTGCCTTTGAACTGCTGGGCTGGCACGGCACTGGCACCCTGGGTGTTTCCTAGCACCAGCCTGGCTCTCCCCATGGCACGGGCTGGCCCTGCCTGCCCACACAGCCAGCCTTGGGCCTTGGGCTGTCTGCAGCTCCCCCGTGCTCCCTGGCCTTGTCCCAGCGGCCTCCTGAGGCCTCTGGTGCTGACGCCCTCTCTCCCCTCTCTCGCAGCAGCCATGGAGGCAGTGCTCATCTTCCTGTGCTCCCTGCTGGTGCCCGCAGCCCTGGCGGACGGTAGGTGCCCGTGCTGCCCCCCACACCTCAGGAACGGGCTGGGGAAGCCCTGGAGCAGCCTCCACACGGACCCAAGGGGCTGGAGGGGGTGTGGGCAGCAGCCATGGGAGCCCAGAGTTTGTGAGGAGCTGTCAGGGCTCAGCCAGGGGCTCACTCACCTCACCCCCCCTTGTCTGCTCATTTCCAGTGGCCACCCAGGAGAAGGAGGAGGAGGATCCCTTCAACTATGGTGAGTGAGCGTGGCTGAGCCTGGGGGTGGCCGTGGGTGTGCCGTGGGCAGCAGAGAGCTGTGCCCTCCCTGAAGGCAGCAGGAATGAGCCCTGTGTGTCCCCTCCAGACTACCAGAGCCTGAGGATCGGGGGGCTGGTGTTCGCCGTGGTCCTGTTCACCGTGGGCATTCTCCTCATCCTCAGTGAGTCGGGGAGGTGCTGGGTGCTGGGCTGGCAGGTGGGGCTGCAGGGGCCGTTCCTGTGGTGGGAAAGGCCCCATCCCATTCCCCCTTGGGCCACGCTCACCTGGCTTCTCTCCCCTTGCAGGCAGGAGGTGCAGGTGCAGTTTCAAGCAGAAGCCCAGGTGAGTGAGGGCAGCCTGGTGGGGAACACCTCCCTTGGAAAGCCCCTCTGGATCCTCCTGGGCTCTTTCTCACAGCTGGCAGAGGGGCTGCACTCTCTGGGTGTCCCTTTAGGGTGCCCAAACTGGGGGAGCAGCTCTGCCTGCTCCTCCTACACCTTCCTGGCCACCCCAGCCCCGGGTGGGGCTCAGGTCCCAGCTGCCCTCATTGTGCTCCTCTCCTTGCAGGGCTCCAGGGGACGAGGAGGCTCAGGCAGAGAACCTGATCACCTCGAACGGTAAGGTCACTGTCCTGTGGTCACTGTGCCACCTCCCCCTGCCACAGCCCCCTCCCAGTGCTGGGCAGGCACCACAAACCCCTCTGCTCTTGCCCTTGCAGCAACGGCGGCACAGAAGGCAGAGAACTGAGCAGGAGCCAATGCTGTGAGTCCAGGCCAGGCTGGGTGGGGGAGTCGGGATGGGAGGGACAGCTGGGGCTGCCTGTGGGGTGACTGTGGGGCTCTGAGCACACCAGTGGGACTGGGCAGCTCTGCATCCCTGGGATGGGGTGGGGGCGAGCACTGGTGGGGTCCACAACAGGGAAACTCAGTGCTGGTGAGGTCCTGAGAGTCCACAGGCAGCCCAGCAGGAAAAGGAAGCATCTGTCCGGATTTTCCCTTGTGTTACATACACTTCCTTTTCTGCTGCTCCTCCACCCCCGAGTGGTTTTGGTTTTAGGGTGTTGGGAAAGCTGGGTGTGAACTCCTCACCCTGAGCTCCCCGCGCTCCTGGGCTGTGTCCTGCTGTGGAGAGGGGGGAGGCTGGAGCCTGACCATGGCAGCAGCGTGGGGAAAGCCTGACCATGGCAGCAGCGTGGGGAAAGCCTGACCATGGCAGCAGCGTGGGGAAAGCCTGACCCCTGCTCTGCTCCCCACGCAGAGCCAGAGACCCCAGGAGGGACACCCAGAGCGCAGATGCCCGCAGCCTGCGAGGAGACTGAAATCCCAGCAGCAGGAACCTCTCAGGAGACGCGGGGCTGCCGTGTCCGTGTCCCCCTCTGTGCTCCAGCACCGGCTCTCTGTCCCTAACCCCACTAAACTCTGCTCACCGTCCTCTCTGCCTCCCGTGGTGTGCAACGTTGCTGTGAGATGATCCTTACCTCTAGGGCTAGTTGTTGCTGGTGTTGTAATCGTGACTTTCTCCTCACCCTTCTCGTGCTGTGGTGTGGTTCGGGCTCTGTGGGACTGGCAGGTAGCTGCCCTTTGGGGTGCCCTCCACGCCTGGGGACAAGGAGCTGTGGCTCAGGGACCCCCGTTCCCTGCCCGGGGCCAGCAGCACAGCCCCCCTGGCTTCGGGCAGGGCCTGGGGACCTGCAGTGCCCTGGGGACCTGCCCAGCCATTTCAGGGCCACCCGTCCCCATTTCAGCAATAACCCCCTGCATGCCCCAGCCTAAAAACAGCCATGGTGGGGGGTGAGCCAGGCAGGGACCTCCCATGGCTCAGCCCTCCTCGCTGGGGTCACTGGGTGCTGGATTCAGGGCTGAAGGGAGCTCTCCTGCCTCTCCTGCTTGGCACTCCCTGCCGAGCAGTTGTTTCTGTCCCTGGTCAGACCTGTGGCACACTGATTTAAGTGTGAGGCAAGGCCATGAGGGCAGAGGAGCCCGGGAGGTCCCCAGCACGGTGACACCGTGGGTGAGGGCAGCAGCACAGCAGTGACCTCCCTGCCCAGCACAAAGCAGCTCCTGCCCGTGAGCCAGGGCTGGGTGGGTGGCACAGTCTGAGGGCTAAAGGGCACCAGAGACCCTGTCTGTGCTTGTCCCTGGCACAGAAGGGGCAGTGGCGTCTCCTCCTGGTGCTCCCTGCCCCTGCTGGCGCCTTGTCACCCCCCATGCCACCCGTGTCAGTGCTGTGTGTTGTCCCGTGGTGGTTCCGTGTCACCCCCGTGCCAGCTGTCCCCTCTCCCCATGGAGCAGCAGCGAGTGGCACTCAGTGATCCTCGGGGCTTTTGCACACCTGAGCTTGCACTGTGACAACGTGCTGAGCCCAGAGGTCATTGTCACCCTGTGTCCTCTCATGGGTCAGAGGAAAACCTGTGATTTTTGGCTCCTCCCCACGTCCATGGGCAGGTTAAACCTCGGCTGGGGCTGGGGACTGCCAGCTTGGGTGGGGCAGCAGTGGGGGGGTCCCCAGGGCCTCACTGAAACCCCTCAGGGTGCCATCCCCACACTGGGAAGGGGGTCCTGTCCCCCAGGACGGTTTTGGGAGGAGTTTCTGCTGTGCCCATCCCACTGTGGTGGCCCTGCCTCCAGCGTGCTCTGTGTCCCTGCATGCTTGGCATCACTTGGTGGCACCGGGAAGCTCTGTCCCATCTGTGCCAGGCAGAGGGGCCGTGTCTCTCGTGTTGTGTCCCTTCCCTCCGTCCTGGCTGTTGCAGAGAGCTCCCGGGCAGGGCAGACCCCGGCCTGGCCCCGAGTGTCACGGTGTGTGTCCCGGTGCTGTCCCTAGTGTGCCGTCGGTGTTACCACGAAACAAAGAGCTCCCTGTGGTGTGTAAAATGGCCAAACCCTGACTGTTGTAAAATAAACTGAGCTATTGTGTCTCCTTTTAAATAGGCGAGTGTGCTGCTGTGCTGGAGGGCTGGTGTGCTCTGTGCTGTGACCTAAGGGGAAAGGAATAAAATATCGTTTCTATCGGTGCCTGCCTGCCTTGTCTCGAGGGCCGTGGCGTTCCCAGGGCAGCCTGGCAGCTTCCCACGCCGTCCCAGGGTCAGGGGAGCAGGGGCAGCGCCCTGGGCAGCACAGCCGGGCTTTGTGCCGGCCGAGCCCCCTCCTGCTCCCTCTGCGGCTCAGCAGAGCCGGAGCCCGTGGGAAGGGAGCGGCCGCGGACGCTTTTGTCCCTGGGCTTTTGGGAGCCGCCGTGTCCGGCTGCTGCTGGCGTGGCCACCGACACATTTGTCCCTCGGTTTTTTGGGAGCCGCCGTGTCGGGCTGCTAGAGGGGCGGCTACGGACACATTTGTCCCTCGGTTTTTTGAGAGCCGCTGTGTCCAGCTGCTGGGGGGCGGCTACGGACACTTTTGTCCTTCGGTTTTTTGGGAGCCGCCGTGTCCAGCTGCTGGGGGCACGGCCATGGACACTTCGGCCACGGACACTTTTGTCCCTCGGTTTTTTGGGAGCCGCCGTGTCGGGCCGCTAGAGGGGCGGCTACAGACACTTGTCCCTCGGTTTTTTGGGAGCCGCCGTGTCCAGCTGCTGGGGGCACGGCCATGGACACTTCGGCCACGGACACATTTGTCCCTCGGTTTTTGGGAGCCGCCGTGTCGCGCTGCTGGCGCGCCGCTCCGGGGGATGCTGAGCGCTGCCAGGGCACGGTGACAGCGGTGACAGCGGAGCCGCTGTGACGGCCCCACCTGGGCCAGCGCCCTCCTGGGGCTTGGCTGCGCCCCGTGGCACCGGGGCCGGGCTGCCGGGGGCTCCGGGGCTCTGCCAGCCCTGCCGAGGGGAGCGTCCCTCGGGGCCGGCTCCCCCCCGGCCGGGTTAATCGGCTTGTGCGCGTGACTCCCGCTCGCCGATGGCGAGATTAGAGCAAACTGGATTGCACAGCCCTGCTGGCAGCCGGCCACGCCGGGCCCGGGGCTGGCACCGCCCGGGGAGGGGCGCGGCATCCCGGTGCCCACCGCCCGCAGGGATGCGCCACGGCCATCGCGGGGCTGCGGTGCTGCCAGGCCCGGGAGGGCTCGGAGCTGGCACGGAGGGGCTGGCCCGGCCGAGGGGGGACACCCTCGGTGCCAGGCTGGCGAGACGGGCCGCGCTGCCCGCTCCTGCCCAGCAAAAGGCGGTCGCAGCCTGTGCTTGAGCCCATCCCTCGGCCGGTCCCCGCGGCAGGAGGTGAAGCCCGGCAGGGCGGACAATGGGAACGGGAGGCAGGGCCGCGACAAGGACGCGCAGCTCGGGGCGCCCAGCCCTCCCCACGGCTGGCACGGTGGGTGCTGCCCCTGCCCTTCCCTCCCCTCCCTCTTTGCCAAAGGCGGGCGGGAGCCCTGTGCCTCCCCTCGTGACTGCGATAAACATTACACCGAGGCCATTAATGTTTAATGAGGTTTGTCTCCCAATTAATGCGCGTTCCCGTGGGTGCCCACTCGCAGAGCGAGGCGCCCGCCGGAGCGACGACACACCGAGGCCATGGGTGACGGTAAGGACAGCCACCTCCGCGGGGACACCTCCCTGCAGCAGCAGCAGCGCCCGTCCCTCCCACCGAGAGCGGGGGAAGCTCTCGGTGAGCATTTGGGGTGGGCAGACGTGGGGTTGGATGCTCAGAGCTCCACAGCCCCGTGGCACATCAGGGACAGCCGGCGTTTGGCTTCTCCGGGGGTGATTTCTCCTTGCAGCTGCTCCCGGCAGAGGGCTGAGCAGTCAGGTAAGGCGGCAGGAGCGGTGACACGGTGACGAGCTCGGTGACACCGAGGGGTTGTTGGGGTGCATCTGGTGCGAGGTGTGAGCCCCAGGGCTTGTTCAGTCTGAGCTCTGAGGGGACAGAGCCGTGGCTGGAGTCCTGCAGGCAGCGGCACTTCCCGAGGGCAGTGGAGCTGGGTCCCTGCCTGCAGCTGCACCTGGAGCATCCTAAAAGTGCAGCCTGCAGTGCATCCCGTGGATTTGCCCAGGATCCTGCAATTTGTCCAGTATCCTGCAAGTGCAGCCTGCAGTGCATCCCGTGAATCTGCCCAGGATCCTGCAATTTGTCCAGTATCCTGCAAGTGCATCCCGTGAATTTGCCCAGGATGTTAAAGCTCCCGGGGTGAGACCCAGGCGTTTCCTGGCTCAGCTGCGTGCCAAGGAGGTCACAGCACTGTCACTTGCAGTCCTCGGTCCTGGTCTCTCCCGCCTCCTCTCTGTGAGGACGTGGCTCTCACTGGAGTTTCTCCTCTTTTCAGAGCACGTGCCCGAGCAGGGCCAGGACAGGTTCAGCTACGGTGAGTGTGTGCCCGGGGCTGGGGCAGGGGCACGGGCAGCCCCTGCCGCTCCGCCGTGGGCTCTGCCAGAGGCTCAGGCTGGCCTGACACCTCCTGGCCGTGCTCCTCCCCAGACTATGACACCATCCGCAACGGGGGGCTCATCTTCGCCGTCGTGGCTTTTGTGATCGGGCTCCTCATCATCCTCAGTAAGTGCCTGGGTGGGTCGGACACCCCTGGGCTCTGCTCCGTGCTCCACTCAGCCCCTGCTGTGGCCGGGAGGGGGCTGGGGGTCACCAGCCCTGCCCCACAGCAGCAGGGTGGGCACAGCCTGCCCCCGGCGCTGCCTGGGAACTTTCCATCCAGGCACGCTCCCAGCACAGGGCGAGTTGGGAGGGAGACCACGTAAATATTTTGTGTTTCCCTGCCAGCGCCCGGGCTTCAGGGGGAAGGTCACTCATTAAAAATAGCAGAGAAAACTCTGACATTTCCAGAGAGGGGAGCCAGCGTTCCCAGAGCCCTCCAACCTCAGCAGCTCCCAGACTGAGCCGGTGCTCAGTGTCAGCACTGTGGCCCTGCCAGGGTGCTCTGGCACCGCTTTGTGCAGGGCAGCCGTGGTCACAGCTGCTGCAGGGATGGTACTCACTCATTTTAGGGCAAAAAACCATGGAAACCAGCAGCACTTGCAATCATGGGGCAGCCTGGGGAGCCTGTGGGCAGTGCCAGGGCTGCAGGGGTGGCTGTGATGGGTGGGGGGAGGCTCAGCCTCAGTCTCTCCTCTCACCCCCAGGCCAGCGGTTCCACTGCGGAGGGAGGAAGAAGAGGAGGTGGGTACTGGGGTTTCCTCTCTGCTGCCTGTTCCAGTCCTGCCAGCTGACAGGGCCGGGGTCCAGCCCCTGTTCCCCCCTCTCTCAGCCACGTTGCCCAGTGTAACACTTCTCCCTTTGGTTTTTGCTCCACAGACAAGGGAACGAGGACGAGCTGTAGGTGCAGGTAGGAGCTCCCTGTGCTGGGCAGCGATGCTCTGGGGTACTCGTGCTCCAGGGAGCTGCTCCTGGGGAGTCTGTCCCAGGAGGAGAGGGGCTGGGGCACGCTGGCCATGTCGCCCTCCCTCTCTCCAGCCCCAGAGCTGCAATGCCCCCATGGAAGCAGAGCTCCAGCCGAAGCCCAGCAGTCCTGGCCACCCCGCTCCAGTGGATCCATTACCCCGCAGGGCCAGAAGGCAAATTACCCTCGTGCTTCCCCCTCTCTTAGACCCAGCGAGAGTTTCTTGGCTAATAAAGTTCAAGCTCTGAGAGGTTCAACTGCGTGCCCGAGGCGTTTGAATCGCCCACTCTCCTGGCCCTGCTCCAATCCCTTTTCTGCCCTGCAGACACAGGAAAAGCTCCCGCAGCCCGAGGCACGGGGCAGCCGCCTCCGCCCTGGCTCTGCTCCCGATGTTTCTTCTCCCAGCTGCGGGTCCTGGATCCTGCGGCACCTCCCTTTCCCTTGGGATGCCCAGGCAGCAGCCGGCAGCACCGCGGGGCTCTTTGTGTGCTCCTGTCTGGCCGGGATGGGGTTAATCCTCTCCCTGGCAGCCCTGGCGGTGCTGGGCTCTGTGCTGGGAGCTGGGGAGGTGCTGGGAGCGCTCCAGTGCTGGCTCCTGCTGCTCCCACAGCAGCGCTGTCCCTGGGATGGGCAGGGTCCCGGCAGGGGCAGGGCCGCACAGCCCCAAAGTGACCAAAGGGACATTGCAGAGCAGGGATGTGACACCTGCGCAGGTGGAGAAGGGAAAGGAGGAGGAAGGGGGATGCTCGGGAGTTACATTTGCCTCACAGAACAATCCCGACTCCCCAGCAAGGGTTGGGCATCGCCTGCAGAGGGCAAGCGGAGAATTTCAGCTTCTGCGTTTCCTCTTTTTCCCTTTTCTCTGCTTTCACTTTATAAACTGCCTTTACCTTGACCCGCGCGTTTGGGGGATTTTCCCTGTTTTTAATCCCCGCCTGCCCTGCTGGGGAGGGGAGTGGTGGAGCAGCTCAGGGTGTCCAGGCAAGGTCAGCCCAGCCCAGCTGCACAGAGCGGGATCCTTCTGGGTCAGGAACGGGGCTCGCATGAACCACGGAGCTCTGTGGGAGCTCTCGGCCTCTCTCAGCTTCGGATTCAGCCAGAAACGCCTCTTTAAAAAAAAAAAAAAAAAAAAAAAAAAAGGGAAAAAAAAAGAGCAAAACTCTCGCGCAATTGGGCGGCGAGTGAGGAGGAGGAGGAGGAGGGAGGTTCGCTCTGAGTGCCAGAGCTGGCCCGACACAGACACCTAGTGACAGCAGGGCACAGCACTGCCTGTCCCCAACGCCCGCAGGCCTGGGGCAAAGGGGACCGGGGCATCCCGGACAGCAGAGAAGGAGGGAGCAGGGAGGGATGCAGCGGGGAGCTCACTCCCAGCCTGGGGCAGTATTTATGGATATGCATTTGCCAGGAATAAAATATAAAGTGAAACCCCAACTGTAAAAAACGGAGTTGCATCTTTTAGAATATTGGAGGACTGAGAGAATAAGAAAAACCCACAAACACAAAGACACCAAATATGTTTTAAACGTCATTTTAGCTGCAGCATATAAATAACAAGAATTACTAAAATTCAGCAAAATGACAGCTGCTTATTTGCAGCAAATGGAATGCAGAAATATATGCATTTGACTCCTCCCCTGAAAACACCATCAGCCCTTTTAAGAGCTTTTAGTAAGTAGTTGTACATAATCCTAATATTTCACCTTGCCTTTCTTCTCTGTTCAGGCCCATCTCATTACTTTCTTATTGTGTGTTACTGAATATTTGTCAGTCTGGGGGCTGCTTGACCAGGGAATGGTTTGGATGAGAAACCCCAGCTCAGGGGGTGTCCTCCCCTCACCTGGAGCCACTGTGGTTGTTCAGGTGTGCAAGGGGCCGCCCTCAGTGACCCCGACCATCCCAGCACAACTGGGATGGGGAAATCAATCCCGGGGTTGGTGTGGGCTTCGCTGGAGGTCAGACATTGACAGAAAAATAGGATTAGCTGGGGGAAGGTTATTAGGCAAAATCCGTGCAATTTGTCTAATCTGAGGTGCTTATTTAACACAGTAAGGAGATTATTTTGGAATATAATTTTGACTTGACAGTGACCCACTAATAAAGACTCATTGCAGCTTTGCACAGCTCAAGCAGAACAGGAGTCCTTCGACCGAGGAAGAAAATGGTTAATGGTTAAACTCGATCCGTCTTAGAGGTGTTTGTGTAACTAAACGATGCTGAGATTCTATGCAAAGTGCCTTTTTAACAGCACTGAAGGGTTTGGCCACACCAGAACTGCCCTGCCCGTGCCTGACCGGGCCTGGTGGTTTCTGTGCCCCCCCAAAGCAGCAGCCGAGGCTCCCAGCAGGCAGGGAGGCAGCAGGGGGAGAAGCGAGCCCGTCCCCAGGCAGGGCTCCCCTCCTGCCCTTCCCTCGCCAGGACCCCGCAGACAGAACCCCCGTGGCTCTGGGCCGGGGATTAGGGGAGGGAAAAGCCGTGTCTGGAGCTCTGTCTCGGCACCAGATGGCATTAATGGCATTATTCTGCACGGCTTGGGGACAGCCACGTGTGCCCGCACCTGCACGGCCCCACGCCCCAAACGGGGATGGGGTGTTGAGAGGTCTCTAGGGCGAGGTGAGAGATGAGAATTTGACTGCATGTTTCCAGAAGGCTGATTTATTATTTTGTGATATTATATTAAATTATATTATACATATTATATATATAATTTTATAATATATAATTATATAATATATTATATATAACGTATAGTATATATTATATATAATTTTATAATATAATATAATATAATATAATATAATATAATATAATATTATATTATATTATATTATATTATATTATATTATATTATATTATATTATATTATATTATATTATATTATATTATATTATATGAAGGATATATCAGAAGGTTAAACAAGAATGCTAATGAAAGCGCCTGCCTGACTCCTCAGAGTCCAACACAGCTGATGGTGATTTGTCACTAATTAAAAACGGTTCACATGGAACCAATCAAAGATGCACCTGTTGTTAAACGACCTCCAGACCACATTCTGAAGCAAACAGATAATTATTGATTTCATTTTTTCCTGAGGCCTCCCAGCTTCCCAGGAGAAGACCCTGGGCAAAGAGGATTGTTCAGAAAATGTTATGGGGACACTGACAGGGGACAGGGGCAGGGCAGGGCACACCCAGCACCCAAACCTATGGCAAGGCCAGGCCCTCGGGCCTTTCCCTGCTCTCCCTTGGTGAGGAGGTGTTGGCCTTCTCCCCTGAACCAGGCAATCTCGGGGGATTTCTCTCACAGCCCCCTGAGCCATTAATCTTCTCAGAGCAAATCTTTTCTGCGGCACAAAGGGGATTGGGTAAATAATACAGTGGACAACTGGAGTGCCCTTTTCCTCTGGGAAGGCTTCCAGGGCCAAACAGCTTCCCCTTGGAGCTGGTTATTTATTCCCTGTTTGCTCTGCTGGGCTCTGGGTGGACAGGTAGGAGGGAGAGGGGCTCTGGCTGGCTGTGGCCTGTGCTTCATCCCTGACTGGAAGCGAGGGGATGAGGCAGCAGGGCCAGACCTGGAGCAGCAGCAGCAGCCAGGGAGGAGCTGCCAGCCCTGCCCGTGGTGCCAGGGACGCATTTTGCCCGTGAGGAAACGCAAATGCAAAATGTCTCCTCGTTAGTTTAAAGAGGAGAGCAGCAAATGGTGACTCAGGGAGCCAGAGAGGAGCACTGGAGAGAGGAGAGATGGGCTGGGCTGGCGGGGAGCCAGCCACATGCCTCAGCCTCCCTCTGCTCTGCTCTGCTCCCGAAAAGGCAGCGCATCCAGCAGCAGCACCTCTGCAAGGACAGCAGCGCTGCACAGGCTGGAATTACCCTCCAGCCCCAGGAAACGGGATTTCTGCCCCAGGAAACGGCATTCCAGCCCCAGGAAAAGGCATTCCAGCCCCTGGAAATGGCATTCCAGCCCCTGGAAATGGCATTACAGCCCCAGGAAAAGGCATTACAGCCCCAGGAAATGGCATTACAGCCCCAGGAAAAGGCATTCCAGCCCCTGGAAATGGCATTCCAGCCCCAGGAAAAGGCATTCCAGCCCCAGGAAATGGCATTACAGCCCCAGGAAATGCCATTCCAGCCCCCATTTCCCTGTCACACTGCCCCAAAGAGGAGGTGATTGGGAGTGAGTGCTCAAGGCAGCAGCGCTGTGGGAGTGCAGCCCAGGATGGGCAGGCTGGCTCGTCCCGGTGGGATTTGCAGTGGGATGCCCTGCAGGACGTGGCTGGAAGCAAAGGAGGGTCCCCGTGAACCCAGCCCATGTCTCGGGACCGTGCCTTGCAATCACAGAGGTTGGAAAACCCCTCTAAGACCATCCAAGTCCATTAACCAATGCTGCCAGCACTAAACCAGAGGTTTAGTGGTCCCCAGAGGTCACATCTGTACACATCTGTCTTCTAAATCCCTGCATTAAATCCCTCCACGGCTGTCCTGGGCAGGCTGTTTAGCCCCTGGAGTTTGCTAAAACCGTGCAAAGCCCCTGGAGCCGGTGAGGACCCGGAGCCCGCTCCCCTCGAAGCCCCCCGGCCCTGTCCCCGCTGCCCCGGTCCCGCTCAGCCGCGGAGCTCGGCGACACTAGGGGGAACCAAATCCCAGCTTCTTGCCGGGAAAGAGCTTTTCCTCGGGAATCCGAGCATCCCGGCTGCCCGGCAAGGGATTCGGGCACGGGGACACGGAGCCCTTGGCAGAGAACAGAACCGCAGGATGGTTTGGGCTGGGAGTTTTAAACTGTTCCCCGTTTTCGTGGCGTTGTCTGCTCACAGTCACGAGTGCCAGGGTTCCTTATGGAAAGGCAGCTGCTCCTGCAGTGCACACCCAAAGGGCTCGAGCAGGATGTCATTTCTGGGGGCACTGACCTGCTTGTGCACCTGTTTGTGCAGGGGTTTTACTGAGGCACAGCCCCTGGCCACCTTCAGGGTGTTTATCCCCCACCACTCCATGTGGCAGCCGCCTGCTCCCCTCTGCCACCGGGGAAACTGAGGCACGGGGGGGCTGCAGCCACAGCCCAGGGGGGTCCTTCCCCCCTCAGCATCCACACTGGGCCAGCCTTGGGGTTGGGGACAGCAGGGAAGGAGGGGCACGGCGTTCCAGGACAGGTTTGGCCGGAAGGAACCCTACCCAGGTGTTCCCAGCGCCCTTTCACACAGGTGTACCCAATAATCAGCTGAACCCCATCCTGCAATTACCCCACAGGCTGTCCA